AAAATGTAATTGTACCGTACAACCACAGCTGAATAAAGACAGAGCGAAAGACTGTGTAATTAAGCTTGTCATGAATCAAAAAACACTTTTTATTAATTTTTAAAGCTAGTAAAACTATTTTTCTCCACAGCTACAATAGCTTGAACATGGACTCTTAAAAAAATTTAACTTTTAAAACTTCTTTTACATATGTGCTAATTCTATGACATCTATAACATGGAACTGTGTCATACAAAAACAAACCACATTATGAAGCCTTCAGGTCGTGAACAGGAATACAACATCAACCAAAAACTCCAAGGTCATGTGTTTTCAGAAAGTGTGCTACAAACTTCCAGGATACCTAACCCAGAAAAATAAAATTTAATCCACTAGGAAGAAAAAGTGAGCTCAAATGTGTGCATAAATATGTGTGCCTGTGTGTGTCTAATACCTACGTGTGTATATACGTAAGTCATCTACCTTTCTCAGGCTCGGCTTAGTGAGGTAAAACTTGCATCCAGTAAACCAGGGTTCGCTGGGTTCTAACCGACACGCGCGGCGCATAACCACCATCACAGGGAAGACGTGGCCTATTTCCATCACCCACGAAGTGCCCTCATGCCCTTTTGTACTCAATCCTCTCCTCCCTCGCTTGGGCCCCCTGCAACCACTGATCCGATTTGTCCCCACAGTTTTGCCTTTATCCAAACGTTCTCAAGGTGGAACCACAGCGGTACGGAGCTCTGTGCCCGCCCGCGGCACAACACTCAGGACAGTTGCCTGTCGAGGCGTCAGCGGTCAGTGCCTCTGTGTCGCCGAGCGCGCTCCCAACCGCAGAACGCTCCCAACTGCTCACCACTTCCCACCCAACGGACCTTCGAGCTACTCTCCATCTCCAGTGACTACGAGCACAGCACTGTAAGCATACACAGCCCTTTGTGTAGACATAAATCTTCATTTCTCCCAGGTAAAGGCCTCCGTGTGGGACTGCTGGGTTGTATGAAAAGTATATATTCAAGTTTACAAGAAACTGCCGAACTATTTTCCCAAGTGGCTACAACCTCTGCGTCCCCACCAGCAAAGCAAGCCCTAGTTCTGGCTGTTCCGCCCGCCTGCAGCTGGGCACTGTCCCCTTCTGCCGCCTTGCTGTGGGGGGTGGGAGGCACTCTCACAGGACTGCAGCGCTACCTCACGGCCACGATCACGGGCGCTTCCCTAATGATGAAGGACGGTCAGCGTCTGTGTGCTTCTTGTTAGCTACAGGAAATGAAATACCTAATCGAATCTTCTGGCCATTTTTTCAGCTGAATTTTTTGCTGAGACCCCATCCTTTTTAACAGACAGTTTATCAACGAAGAAGTGATGGAAAGTTTGTGTATTTTCTTAAAACCACTTAGGATGCATGAGCAGCAGACACAGATCTAAAATGCTTCCTTGCCATCCTACTCCCAACCCTACTTGCCCCTGCCCCCATACCTACCATATGCCAAGGCCGGTAGAAAGAAAGAAACATCCTCTCTCGCCCTTACTCAGCAGAGTGTAAGAATCACAGGAAAAGCTGCCTGCCTCCTGCTCGGTCGGAAACAGACCTGTTTTCGCATTTTTATGAGTCTTCAATGAAGCCACGATCTTTCTTCAATATGAGCAGGAATGGGGCGCCTGGACTGTTCAGTCGGTGAAGTGTCTGCCATCGGCTCGGGTCATGATTGCGGGGTCCTGGGATCAAGTCCCGCATCGGGCTCCCTGCTCAGCAGGGAGCCTGCTTCCCCCTCTCTCTGCCTGTCTCTCTGCCTGCTTGTGCTCTCTCGGTCAAATAAATAAATAACATCTGGAAAAAAAAATACCAGCAGAACACCAATGACTGAGAACTGAGAACCTCGTGCAACCCGGCAACCCCAGTGACGAGGCGTTCCTACACGGCGGAAGCGCCAGTGACCCTCCACTGCAGGCCGCCGGTGGGGTCTCTGTCACAGGCGGGGCCCGCACACAGGGGCACCACGTTCTAAGCGTTCGTGTAAAGGGACAGGAGGGCCTGCGGCCACCGCATGCAGCCTCAGGGGGACAGTGTGGAATCCGGCTGGGGGCTCGCCTCCACAGCAGGGGCAGTGAGCACTACCCTGTTGCCGTAAGAACTGCGCTCAACTCGAGAACACACGATGAGCGGCGCGCGTAAATGGCCCGTATCACAACTCTGCGACTTCCCGACGTGCGATTCTGAATCCCAAACGTCACGAGTACTGGAAAGGCAAAGGGCGTTCTTCGAGAAGCTCTGAGCACGAAGCGGAAGCGTCAGACCGCAGGCGGCATGCGGACCCGCTGAAGCAAACCCAGGGTCCTGACCATCCAGGAGAGCAGCCGGGCGGCGACACAGAGGGTGGCCCGGGGTCGGCAGTCCTGGAAGGCATTTATGGACTTTATTTCGTACAATTCTGCCTCAGCACTTCAAACTGAGCGATGCTTCTCTTCAGCGAAGCCAGCCCACACGTGCTTGGTTCTGCAGCCCTCGTTGCCAGCGGGCCTCCCGAACGGGGCCCCAGAAACCAGGGCTGCGCCCTCCTGCCCCTCCCACGATGCCCCCAGCCTCCCCGCACACCCTCCTCGCGTCCAGCGGGACAGAGCGGCTTCTGAAATGTGCCGTGGTCGCACATCCTGCCCCCGCCCGACAGCCACAGCAGGGGCTGCCGTGTCCACACCCGCATGACGGCCAGCTGGGCCGCCTCCTTGACAGACAGTCCATAAAGGTTTTCCATGAACCGGTATGTGAAATCAACAGGTCAAGATGATCTCTTGGATTAAATGTCTTAATATAGCCTATGCTCAGGTTTTAAGAAAACATTAAAAATTTATGACGGGGGCTCCTGGCTGGCTCAGTCAGTAGAGCATATGACCCTCGATCTCGGGGTTAAGGGTTTTTTGTGGTTTTTTAAGATTTTTTATTTATTTATTTGACAGAGGGAGAGATCCCCGGTAGGCAGAGAGGCAGGCGGGGGGTCAGGGGGAAGCAGGCTCCCCTGAGCAGAGAGCTGAATGCGGGGCACGATCCCAGGACCCTGAGATCGTGACCTGAGCCGAAGGCAGAGGCTTAACCCACTGAGCGACCCAGGTGCCCCAATCGAGGTTAAGTTTGAGCCCCACATTGGATGCTTACTTTAAGAGATTACTTAAAAAATAAAATCTTTCAAAAAATAAAAAAATTTATGACAGTATAAGGACCTATTTAGAAACTGTCCCCGCTCCCCTTCCCCCAGGGGATTGACTTGGAGACAAGTCCCGGAAACCAGCTTCACGCAACAAAGCCCAGATACAAGGGTGGGTCAGGCCAGGTGGAGGCATCTGATCCGTGGGGGGGATGCATACTGTCTCCCTGGTTACCAAGGAGTATGGGCCCCGCCCTTTGGGCGCCAATCCCAATCAAGGTGTAACAGGCTGGTTCAAATGTCTACTAGGGTAAACTGTAACTCAGTTGGTCACCTAGTATCACTGTGGAGTTTCCTGTGTGTGTTACAATCTCATTGGCCACCTGTGCAGGGCCAGGCCCGACCGCATGGCCTTTGCCGTTAAAAGCTAGTCTGTGAAATGGAGAAGGGTCGCCCTCTCTTGTAAGAGGGGCGGCCCCGAACGTTCGGTCTGATTCTTGATGCTTGGCGCAAAATTAAGCTTTGCATCAGTCTCGCTCCTTTAATCACGGACCCATTATTGGGGCATAACAAACAGATGTTTAACAAACTGAATGTCCCATTTCCCATGGAAACCTATCTAAAGCTCTTAAAGGAAGAGTCTGTAACTAAGTTAATTTGTACCACCTAGCAGGGCACCACAACACAGGCTTTGCAGGTTAACAAAAAGGAACCCGTCTCGTCCAGCTCTGCTTCTCACTTTCTCCACCTGGAATGCCTTTCCCCACCTATCGCAAATCGCGCTCCCCCTTCCCAGACCAGCTCCCTCAGGAGGACGCTGTCCCCCTCCCTCTGAGCCTCCGGTCACTGTCTTCCCCATCAGCATTCTGTTCCAGCAGGATCTGCCCTGCACAGCTCAACCCTGGTACCATCTCTAGCAGGCCAGCAGAGCAACCTGTCCAGCATGCAAGAAAACAGATGTCCCTGGGGGTGAAGACAGAAGTAATATGCCTGAGCACACAGAAAATTTTATTAAGAGGCCTAACTTACGAGCTGTCAGAAAGAGTGAGAACTCTTAATAACATCAAGCAAACAGGGGCGCCTGGGTGGCTCAGTGAGTTAAGCCTCTGCCTTCGGCTCTGGTCATGATCTCAGGGTTCTGGGATCCAGTCCCGCATCGGGCTCCCTGCTGAGCAGGGAGCCTGCTTCCTCCTCTCTCTCTGCCTGCCTCTCTGCCTACTTGTGATCTCTGTCAAATAAATAAATAAAATCTAAAAAAATTAAAATTAAAAAAACAATATCAAGCAAACAGGAAAAAAAACCAGTGGTAATTGTTAAGTTCAAGAAAATAGGAAAACAAACAGCTGAACAAAAAGGAAATATATCACACTACACTAACCGGCTCGATAGTGAGCAACAGTCACGAAGTCAGAACAATTAACTAAATTACGGATCTAAGCAAAACCGGTGACCAACCACGTGGGGAAGATGGGAGCTCAAAATGCGACTTTTTCTCAAAGTGACACATCAAAGACCCCGCCCCTACACAGCTACTGCTGGGGACCGTGGACATGCGCTGCAAGGAGCCGCTCACCGACCTTTCAGGGCTCTCTGACTTCTGAGCACGTGCGCATACCACCCTCTGACAGAAAGAAATTTCTAAGAAAGAAGAAGAAAGAGAATCTCTAACAGAAGCATTTCAGGCAGGACATAAGTGTTTTCCTGCAACTTCCAACCTCGCTCGCTGCTCCCTTTCCCCCTTCAACAGTCTCTCTCCGAACCTCAGGAGGCGGGCAGCGGACAACTGCGTGCGTGCCTGGGATGTGGCGCCACGGCCCGCTGGCTCCGCACTCTCGAGAAAGCTCCGGTGAGCTCTGACCCTGCGCCTTCGCCACCCACAACATGGGAACACCACCACGGACCTCAGGGGCCCGGCGGGGCTGGGCTGCTCAGCACCCAGACACCGAGTACACCCTGGACCTAAGTCACTGGAACCCTTTCTCCCGCTTCGACCGCCGTCCAGGTGGGCCTTCCCTCTGACCAGGCCCCCACAGCGCTGCCAGCACTGCCACAGCGCCGTCCACGTCACCAAACTCGAAGGCAAACCTCAGTGACCTTTCCTGACACGTCAGAGAGTGGACACATCCTCCTCCTGGGACTCTCTTCCCTTCTTCCCGGGGTCTTCCTCACACCCGCTCGGTGCCAGCCACTGCTCACGTCTATCCAGGAGCACTGGCCTGGGCTTGCTTGTCTTCTCTGTGCTCCCTCCCTCAGTGAGCACAGCATCACCCATCTCCATTGCCACTTCCAGCCCCAACCCGTCTCCCAAGCTCCGGATGCCCACTTACAACTGCCCCCATGACAGCTCTGCTGGGGTCCCTAAGAGAATCACGAACAATAGTGAGCTCCCCAGCTGTCCCTCGAAACCAAATTCCACCCACAGCCTCCCTCCCCTTCCAGTTGCCCAGGCCAAGAGCCTTCTAGTCAACTCAACTCCTCTCTGTGTCCTCACACCCCTTATGCACTCTGTTAGCAAATCCTGCCGCTTCTACCTTTGAAATACATCCAGGGCCCCACTGCTTCTCACCACCGCCAGCTTTCCTGCTCCAATCCAAGCCCCCACTGCGGCTCACCTGCTTTCCCAAATGGCCTGCCGACACATCTCCTGGTTGTCCCCTACTCTCCCCCACTCCCCACCCCCGGTGTCTGTTCCCAACACACCAGCTTTTCAAAACCTCAGCAGAGTCTCAGGTCTGAACGCTGAGGGACAGCTGCCCTCTGTAGCCGAGAGCCGGCACCGCCTGACCCTCATGACTCTTTGTTTGGATAAACAGCCCCAGAACCTCAGAGTTCAATCTATGTCCATTGTTCTCAGCGGTCCTGACACCAGAGAACCTCTTTTTTCACAAAACGGGGGTTTTCAGACTGGTCTCCGAGCAACCTCCCTTTCTGTCTCCTGTCTCCCCACACACCATTAACCCTGAAAACAACGCCCATACATACTCCAGCAACTCAACTGCTCCGAAACTTTCCTTCCCTTTCCTAGAATTCTTTTTTTTTTTTTTTAAGATTTTATTTATTTATTTGACAGAGAGAGATCACAAGTAGACAGAGAGGCAGGGAGAGAGAGAGAGAGGGAAGCAGGCTTCCCGCTGAGCAGAGAGCCCGATGCGGGACTCGATCCCAGGACCCTGAGATCATGACCTGAGCCGAAGGCAGCGGCCTAACCCACTGAGCCACCCAGGCGCCCCCCTTTCCTAGAATTCTGGCTGTAAAACACCTCTATCCCAAGCTTCTGCCTTATAATGCAACACCCCAAAACAAATCATGAACCAAGAACCTGATCCATCCCACAGGAGCTCGAGTGGACGGGGGCACTCAGGTCCATCGGGGGACGCGGATCTCAGCAGAACATTGTTAAGCTGGTGCTGTACGAAGCCAGGCTGCCCCATGCGGCCTCACCACGTGTCCAGAATTGGGGGAAACAATGATAGAAACTGTGGTTATAAGGTTATATTCCCGGATTTACATCTTTCAAACAGGAGTGGAGGGGAGGAGAGTGCTGAAGTAGAAGCAGATTATATCGCGGTGCTCAAAGCTCTCGGGAGCCATGGACAGGCCCACAGTTCCCCATCGGGCCTTTGTTCCAGTGCACATCACATCAAGAAGAGAAGTTTTTGTGTAATTTCTGTTAAACATGAAACTGTCTCGTACTCTACCACACGAACTATTTTAATAGCTAATACTGCTGGAAAGTTATACTTGATATTCTCCCTCTTGTTTGGATCCACTAAGAAAAGAGAACTTACTTTGTGGCAAACATTAAATACTCCTTCCTCCAGCATTTAGTCAAAACCACCTATGGGCCAAGCAGAAAACATGCAGAGATCAAATAACAGAATCTTTGCTCCTAAAGATGCAGAAGCAGACTTATACCCAGTAAACACAGCGCACTATTACAGGAAGAAACACTGAACGTGCAGGGAGCGTGGGGAGGAGACAAGGGGTGTGAGCAGCGGGGCATGGCCTTCTCCAAAGACAGCACAGTCACGCCCCACACCGCACTGAGCAAGTGCCTCTCGCAGCCAAGAAAGGGCAGAAGGAATTAGAGAAAAGGAGCAAGACTTCCAGGACTTACTTAGAAATTGAAACTGCAAGACATAATTTCCCTTCCCTAAAACCTAATCATGGCAGAAACGAAAGTAGGCTTGGGGGAGAAAGGGAGAAAGTGAACTCACCCCCAGAAGGAAATGGAAAAACCATCCAGGGCCCAGCCCCTTGGATATTTAAGACAAAGACACTTGCCAAAGTCAAACTCAACATAATTATAAATGATCCTGAATTCTGAGTCCACGAAGTCTAAACTCATGGCGCCTTAATCAAAGCAACGTACCAGTAAAATAAAACGTTTACCAATGCTAAGACCCCAAGAGAGGTTTAGGAACCTTCCATCAGCTATCCGTCCTTGATTTGCCACTGGGCCTACCACAAAGAGCAGCCTTTGGAAATAAGACTAACTGGGACAGAATCTCAACTCTACAACCTCTCAACTCTACAACCTCTCAACTATGGAGTGCAGCACAAGTGCCAAGGTCTTAACAAAATTCGAAATTTAACAAAATACAAATAACCCAACCTCTGGGGCTCAGTTTTCCTCTCATTAAAGTGGGGGAAATGCCACCAAATATTCACCACTACCATCTGCAAACACTGACCACATTTCACATTTCTCATGGCGTCTTCAGCACAACCGTGGGAGAGCGGTCCTGTTGACAGCACTGTTGTCGGAGGAGAGAGCTAGGTTTCAGCAGTCAGCAGTGGGCACGGACAGAAGCTAGGTTTCAGCAGTTAGTGAAGAGCTACTAAGCAAGCAGCCAAGCCAACATGTGAGTCCAGAGCCCGTAAGAAGATGCGAGGAAAAAGCACACACTCCAAAGCCAGACGAAGTCTGAATCCCAGCTTTGCCGTTTGCAGAGTATCCTTTACCCTCTGTTTCAGTTATGCAAATGTGAGACACGGCAAAGGCAGCCCGGTCCTGGGGTTGCTGGGGTCCACAGTGTTCCGGAGCACGTGCTCCTCCCCGCACCTGCTTCCAATGTTACTGTCCCGAGCACTACGGCTATCCTGCCCACCTCTGCCCACACATAAAAGCCACTAAACAACTAATATTTCTTCCCTCACCTACTCTGCAAGACCAACTGGCTTCTATCTGTTTTTAATATGTGTCAAAGAAACCCTACAACAGATGAAAGAAAAGCCAAAACGAAACGAAAACCCAAGACGCAAATGTAGCAAGAGAATTATACTCACAGATCCGAAGGCCACGGTAACTCTGTGAAGAAATCAAACGTCGGTTTAAAGGAAAGGCTCCTAGTTCCTCTTTCCTCATTCCATAGTCCACAGGGAACCTGACAAGGAGAGAGAACACGCGCGTATAAAACCACCGTCCTTTCGCCTTTTGGAAGCTCTGCTGCACTCACCACCTCAGCCAGTTCTATCACCTCCCGGGCACGCCTACTGCGCGGCACCGGGGTGAGGGGTAAAAACAGGGCACCGCGTCCCTGTCTTCAAACCTACTGTCTGTGTAAGAAATACATGTGAAGGGGGCGCCTGGGTGGCTCAGTGGGTTAAATCCTCTGCCTCCGGCTCAGGTCATGATCCCAGGGTCCTGGGATCGAGCCCCGCATCGGGCTCTCTGCTTGGCAGGGAGCCTGCTTCCTCTCCTCTCTCTCTCTGCCTGCCCCTCTGCCTACTTGTGATCTCTCTGTCAAATAAATAAATAAAATCTTTAAAAAAAAAATTAAAAAAAAAAATAAATACATGTGAAGCAACTGAAAGCCATTAAAACATATCAATAACCATAAATTAATAGAGGGTAGTTAGCTAACAAGTGCTCGGTATAATGATGGAGTATAGACATCTATTCCACAGCCTCCCATTAAAATTATACTAAAGAGATACTTTTTTTAAAAATTTTTATTTTTTATAAACATATAATATATTTTTATCCCCAGGGGTACAGGTCTGTGAATCGCCAGGTTTACACACTTCACAGCACTCACCGTAGCACATACCCTCCCCAATGTCCATAACCCCACCCCTCTTCTCCCAATCCCCCTCCCCCCAGCAACCCTCAGTTTGTTTTGTGAGATTAAGAGTCACTTATGGTTTGTCTCCCTCCCAATCCCATCTTGTTTCATTTATTCTTCTCCTACCCCCTTAACCCCCCATGTTGCATCTCCACTTCCTCATATCAGGGAGGTCATATGATAGTTGTTAGATACTTTTTTTTTTTAATGTTTTAAACAGTGCACCTGGGTAGCTCGGTCAGATGAGCATCTGCCTTCGGCTCAGGTCATGATCCCAGGGTCCTGGGATGGAGTCCCGCATCAGGCTCCCTGCTCAGTGGGGAATCTGCTTCTCCCTCTCCCTCTGCTGCTCCCCGTTTGTGCTCTCCGCTCTCTCTTGTGTACCCACACACACTCTCTCTCAAACAAACAAATAAAATCTTTTTTAAAAGTGTTTGAAACAGGGGTGCCTGGGTGGCTCAGTGGGTTAAAGCCTCTGCCTTCAGCTCAGGTCACGATCCCTGGGATCAAGCCCCGGATCAGGCTCTCTGCTCAGCAGGGAGCCTGCTTCCCCCTCTCTCTCTGCCTACCTCTCTACCTCTCTGTGATCTCTGTCTGTCAAATAAATAAATAATCTTAAAAAAAAAAAGTGTTTGAAACAGCACAGGGAGAACTGAAAGGAGAAAAGGCCAAGATTTTGGAAGCTCTGAGAAAATCTTCTAACATGGAAGATCGAGACCCAAACAGTAAAAAGAAGAAACCTGGAAGAAACAGAAACTAAAAAGACTGAAGTACAGTAAATGAGTCAGCAGGCCCAAGAGAGCCAGATTCTAACTCAGCAGCGGAACACGCCGAGAGCCAGCTCCGCTTGCACAGCAGTCCTAGAAGACAAGAACTGGCAACACCAGCGCACAGGGAACGAGGTAAAGAAGGCACAGCTTCCCACAGTAGCTGGGGAAGGCCATGGCAACAGGAACTAGAACCTCAATGCCAGGTGCAATGTGACTCCCCCTCACTCTGACAGAAGATGGGGGAGTGGGGGAGGACTCTCACTCACTCCCTGGAAAAAGCAGAGGCATCCACAGACTGACATCGCCCTGCCCAGCGGCGCTGAACAGAGCTGGATTTAATGACTACATATACAGGGAACGGTGACTTCTCCAGCTCCCCTACAACAGACCACACAGGCACACAATTAACTCCCAGGTTCTGAAGTCAGAATTCTTCAGGAAGATACTGGAAAATATTTCTGGGGAATCTGATCCGCCCCAAAAGACAGACCTAAAGATCCTAACACTGGAGACCCCCAACACAGGGCCCACCAAGAACACCCTGATGTAAAAGTCAAGGGGGCCTGCCCCTCAGACAGGAGAAAGAAGGAAAGAACCTGAAAGAAACTGAGACCATACAAAGTACCAAGAATGCAGAGATAAGACGCTGCGATCAATCCAGAAAAGGAGGATACTCTTCTAGAAGAACAGGAAGAGAACTCTTAGAAATCTCAAGAACCTTTCTGCAATCAGAAAGAATAAACTAAAGAAGAAGATTAAGTCAAACTGAAGTCATGTCTCCCTGAACAGAGAAAAAAAAAAAAAAAAAAAAAAAAAAAAAAAAGGCAGAGGAGGAAGAGCAAAGGAAGAAGAAAAAAGCATTACGATAATTACAACCTCTGCCCAGGACAGCCAAGTGCTGGATAATAAGACTTCCAGAAAAACAAAATAAGGAGACGAAAAGGAGAAATCCTCAGCACAATAATGCCAAAAAAGTATTCCCAGAACTGAAAAATACCAGTTGCCAGAATGAAGGGACCCACTGAATGCGCAGCACTGCAGATGAAAGCCGACCCACACAGACTACGCTGTCGTGCCACTTCAAGACACTTGTACGAATTTTAAGACTCCTACAAGCTTCTAAAGATGGCAGGGAAAAGTTACATACAAAGGATACGTAAGAATAGCTTCTGAATGTGAAAACAGTGACATGAAAACAAGACGGCAATGGAGCGATCTTTGAGTTTATGAACAAAAATGAAAGCCAACACAGAACTCTATACCCAGCCAGACTGTCCATCAAGTTTCATTCCTGCATGGTTCCAAAGGTTTGCCCCCTAAGCGTCCTGTGTCAGAAAGCCAGTGGAGAAAATCCTCCACCAAAACAGGAGCATCAACAAAAAATGAGCAACACGTGACCTTCCATGAAGAAGGGGTAAGGGCCTCCCCGGGACGACGATCAGGGAGAGCTCAGGACGGTGGCGGGCACCAGGAGAGAGGGAGACAAGTCCAAGTTGGAGGAGCACCGCGCAAGAGGAGGGGATGCTGATGGCGGTCTTGGCCTTGTCCAAAGACACTGCACCATCTTTCTAAAGTGATTAACTCCACAAAGATGAGGAAGTCAGTGAAGCAATACAAAGACAAAAGTTGCCACAAACATAGAATCCAACTCTGGACAGAAGCCAAGGATGAGAACAGAGGAATGTCCCAGAACAACACAGTAAAAGGCCTCAGGAGTAAGCAGCTCGGAAAAGAGAACAGAGATCTCCAGGGAATTGTCTGCCAGCAATAGAATGTGAAGAGGAGTTGAGTCTAGATGACGAACCATGCAGAAAAACTACTAAGGGGCTCCTGGAAGGTATGGGGAAAATGAACAAGAGGTATAAGGAAGGTGAAGAATGTGGGGGCTGATGAAAGAGAAATGCCCGCGCTCCTGCCCTGTGCACATCTCTACACAGGACTGACCACTGTGCCACCCTCGCTGGCGGACTCTCCTTCTCCCTCGCTCGGCCGGGAAGACCTCTTGGAGAGGATTTCTCATCCAGCTGTCGCCTTCTAGAATCCAATACAATCCCTGCTACAGGAGTACAGGCAAGAGCAGTCTGGAGTCTTTTTACGTTTATTCAGGTACTGAGCATCTACTGTGCACACCTGCTATCCTTCCAGAGAACTAGAATTCAAAGACACACCAACCTTGCTCGCCTTTAAAGAGTTTCAACTTTTTTTTCATGCCTGAGAAAACAAATATTTATCCTACATCCTCTTCTCCCCAAAGACGAGCGGTTCACCAGGGGCTTAAATAACTTCAATAGAGCAGCTGTCACTAATGGCTACGAAACCCCAGACCTGGAGATACTTTCTTGACCTCAGACACGCTGTGCAAGATGAGAAGAGCGCCGGCCTGGGTATCAAGACACCTGGTTTCTCGCGCTTTAGAATTACGACTTTTGAAGAACAGAAAATCCCACCTCCTTGATCTGACCAGCCGGGCCCTGAATGTCTCTCACGCTATCTCCCATGCAGCCCACACAGCAGCACCGTTAAGCCGCTTCTGGCTTACAGAACCACCTCCTCCTCACACCTCCTCCCTGCGCTAAGCTGGGTGCGCAGCTGGGAGCCGAGCCCGTGCCCCTGGGGAGGCACCTCTCTCCTGTACCCTCTCAGCGCTCCTTCACGTGACAAGGGTATCTGTGGAGGGAGTGACAAATGCCACACACCGCGCCGGGCCCTGGGACACACGGCAGTGCACCAGAGACGCAGCCCTGTCCTGAGGGCTCCCGCAGTGTACCTTCCTGTTCCACGAACTAGAGCGCTTGTTAAATCTGGCCCGTCAGTGTCCTCCCCCACCTGAACGGCAAGATTCTGGGGACAACGACAGCCCCTTTGAGCGCAGCAGCCTCAGCACCGCCATCCCAGATGAGTAACGAAAGCCGACGAAGCAACACCAGAGTGAAGGAGGAAAGCGCCAGAGGCTGTGGCAGGTGAGCAACATTTGCTCTTGAGAAGCCCTCTTTGTCACTGTCGTCCTTTATTTATCGCCTCTTTTCTTCAGGAATAGAAACCGTTCAGGGAAGTCTTGCAAGTCGGCTGGAACCAGCTTTCCCCTCCTTGCTAAGTGCAAAGGCAAGACAGCCCGGCTGCTCCCCGTCTGGCTTCCGCTCACCACCCTATGACCAACAGTGTGCACCGAGCCCCGCACCTAAAACACGCTCAGAACACGTGCACGTGACGCGTGAATGACCTAGTGATGAATCAATGATCGTACACACTGGCTTTGGGGGCCTTATAATTGCTCCTCACTTGATTTTGTATTTTAGGGAAGATTCAAGCAAACACTAACACCGCATTCTATCGACACTGGCCCTACAGCGTGCCCGCCCTCCGAACAGCAGGCGGCCCAGGGCATGTGGCATCCAGCACGGAACTGACGTACATATAAGCACAAAAATCTAATGAACATAGTTCAAATAGGGCAGAAAACGAGAGTATTTCCCAAACCCTATAATTAAAATGCTTAAATTCTTTTGCTCCAGACAAAGAAAAATTACACTTGGCTCATTATACAGTGAAATACACCGTCAGCTCCTTGAAGTTATTTGTACGATGGACACTCTCTGCCTTCCTGGCATGAGCGGGTGTGTGTTAAGACACATCAGAGATGCTCGGGCCGCTCTGACCCCTCTCCGAGACCCTCTGATGTGCAAACGAGGACTTCCCAGCAGTCACAGCACACTCTCGCTCTATGCTTCCGGAACACGTAACATATTCCGCACCATCACTCTGCTCAGAATGTTCTCGTTTCGGTGTGCGGTCCCACCTGGACAGGCCCTGACCCCCGCCCCCCGCCCCCCGTCCCAACCACAGCGACAGCCTGCCGTCGGCGGAGGGTGTGCCGGGGCAGCGTTCTCTCCCAAGTGCTAAACAGGCACCCGCTCCCGAGTCCTCGCAGCCCGGATGACTGCTCTCTTGCCCTTTTACATGCAAGAAAACGAAGTCCAGAAAAATTAAGAAATTTTCCAAGGTCACACAGCAAACAAGGGAGAGCGAGCTCAGGCAAATAGCAGTTTCTCTCAGCATCGAAAGCTGTGCTGCTTCCCAAGTTACCCAGATCCCCGCGTTAAAACAAAGCACGACTTGGGCTCTCCGAGGCACACACGGCAGAACGACTCTTTCTAAAGTTGAGAACATTCGGCGCGACATGTTCACTAACTGTAAGGTATCTGGCTTGGACCGACCAGGCAGGCTCAGCCCCTGGCGAAGAGAGGGTCTGCTCGAAGCTAACTGCCAAGGAAAGCCCAAACCCACCACGTCCTCATGTGTAACCGCCTGACAGCTGGCGCCGCGGAAGTCCCGAGTGTCCGAAACGTACCGCCGCACCGCCCTGGCGTCGCTCCCTCCGAGCCGGGGCACAAGGGCCTCCGAAGCAGGCAGCGCTGCCACCCGCGCTCTGCAGACACAGGTCAGGGTAACTTTCTGAAAAACCAAAAACGTAAGAAGAATGTGAACATGATTATGAAAGTTATCTGGAAAAAGGAGTGCTTGTTTATGCTTCCAAAGAATTTTCTAGCCAAACACACTCAGACACCAGCTCACAGGCCACCGGTCGGGGCGGCCCGGGCATCCGTGTGCCGGCGCGGGGGACGGGCTGCAGTCCGGCTGCTGGTGAGCAGGACGACAGGAGGACAGGAGGGAAATGAAGAGGCAAAATGACCAGTTTCTGACAACCCGACGTGAGGAACCAGCACCACAACAGAGCGCCGTTCACGTGCGGGTCAGCGGTGAGCGCCGCCGCCGGCTCTCCCACGTGCTGGCCGGGCGTCCGGGAACGACTGAGATTAGCTTCCAGCTCTCCCGGCGGAAACGACCGCACCACCAGCAGCTCTATTTGCTGCCCTCACGATCCCTCCCGGACCAGCCACGTACCAGGAACGGTGTCCCGTCACACTTCTACCAGAGTCACGGTACTCCCGCCCTCACGGATGAGGAAAGAGACTTAGCGCGTCGGGAACCTGCTCAACAGGCAGCGAACAAGGATCAGGTCCGAGATTCAGAGCAAGACCCGTCCGCACCCATTCTCCTAACCACCGCTGTTCTACACGGTAAATAGTATCCCCAGAAAATTCGACTTGGCAAAGGCTTAAAAATGTGAAAGAAACACTATTCTACTCTAACTGATTAACAGGCACAGCTGACACACTCAAAACAAGGCGACCCTTCAATTACACAAGAGAACTAACGGCTGTGACAGTCTACCAAAGGGTCATTTCGTCTGCCTGAGAGACACCAAAAGGAGGACCCAAGGACCACATTCCTGCAGCACTCAGAATGTGGAGCGAGGCCGGGAGCGTAACTGAGCGAGAGACACAGCCCCGTGGGCACCGGCGGCCTCTGGGTGAAACGGGTCCCTGTGTAAGTAGAAGCAGTTCGCCAAGCAAAGGGTCCCAGATCGAGGTAAGGAAGAATAAGCCATTCCTTCCTGCCGCCTAGAAAGGGCGACGGGAAAAGCTGGACGGAGTAACTACAGAAGCTGTGTGGCCGCTCTGACAAGTGAACCGCAGCAGGTGCACTAGGAAGCAAGCCAGCATTCACGCCACCACACGGGCAGATCTGCACACGACGGAAAGCCTCCCGACGTAACACCGCAGTGTGGAGGGCACACCCCAACACACTCAGCGCAGCAAGAACCAGAACGTCAGGTCCTGCGGGAGAAGAGCGTCAACGTAAGCCAATACCAAGAAGGAAACAAACATGAGCATCAGCCCACACAGACTTTAAAAAACAGCCAGCGCACAAGTAACTCCGCACACCAGCGTACACACAGCACACTCGGTGTCACAAACTCTTGTTGGCCTTTTATCCCGTAAACCCACGGGCTCTGGCCCCCCACGCCACAGAAGCTTCTTCTAAGACTACCAATGACCTGTGCACTGCTCCAGCCAATCACCGGAGCTCAGGTCTCGACCTTTCAGCAACAACTGACCAGAGCTGATCTCCCACTCCTGTTCTCATGGTTTTCTTCTTACCCCACAGATGCTCTCTCCTTCCAGAGGCCCCCGGGGATCTGTACTTTCTCTTCTCAGCTATGCTCACCTCCCAGGCAAACTCACAGCAAATGCTGTTTCTATGCTAACGAAGCTAAAACTGCTCCCTCCAGCTCAGACCACCTGCCCGGCTCTTGTACTGGATGGACTGGCATTCCCTCTGCAGGTCAGCCACCATCTCCGCCTTCTCCTGGCCTCACCAAAGAGAAGGCAGAGCTACACCTCCCAAAACCCCTTCCTGCTACAACTCAGGGTGGAAGTTGAAGTTGACTAATAAGAATTGTCTAGAACGGTCCGTGTTTTCCTGACCAAACCCTGGCAAGCGTACTCTAGGCTGGGACCCACTTCTAGGTCCCTTGGAGGAGTGGAGCGTCACCAAAGAGAACCGAGTAAAACGTGCAACACCTCCCAGGCTGGGAGCTGACCGACCCGCCCCCTCCACAAACCTTCTTACACACAGCCTTCTCCGTTCCTGACTACATCCCCCTTCCAACTGCTGGGGCCATAAACGACGGCTATCAACCCCGCCTCCTGTCTTCCTCCCACACTCCCCATCCTGTCTGTCGGCATGTCATGTCGGCTCTTCCCACGCAACAGGCCCAGACCCTGTCCTCCTGCCATGGCGTGAGTTCACCAACACCATCGTGCCACAAGCCACCATCACCACTCACCCAAATGACCGGCTTCCCTGCCCCCGCCCCACCGCCCTAGCGTACACCCTGGTTCCAAACCTAGAGCAGGTGGAGTCACTTCTCTTCTCCAAACCCTAAACAGTCCCCCACCTCACATGGATGACAAGGAGTTCATTAAATCATGTTTAACTGATCAGCAGAGGAAATGTGCAGAGGAAAAGTGCACTTGTTGGGGCGCCTGGGTAGCTCAGTGGGTTAAAGCCTCTGCCTTCAGCTCAGGTCATGATGTCAGGGTCCTGGCATCGAGTCCCGCATCGGGCTCTCTGCTCGGCAGGGACCTTACTCCCCCCCCGCCCTGCCTGCTGCTCTGCCTACTTGTGATCTCCGTCTGTCAAATAAATAAAATCTTAAAAAAAAAAAAAGTGCCTTGTTGAAAAACAACGACCCTTTTGGCAAGAACGGCTGCTCCGAGGGGAGGACCCCAGGAACAACACTGAGAGTCAACGAAGGAACGAGGCGAAGGACTGCGTGGGTTTTCTTCGTTGCTGCTGAGCCAACAGGAGTAACCCATGCCGCTCGACTATTTGTGCACGGAGCAAAGGGACCGAAGACGGGGCCTCTGGGAGCAGTTCTTGGTGTGGAACTGCTGGGAGAACACTTTCAAAGACACTGAGAAAACACTGATTTAACACGACCTGGAGCAGAATCTGCTAACACATACTATAACTAAAGACAGCAAAAATGTCTGCAGAGCAGAACAAGGGTCAGCTGGAAATGTCACCAAGAGTATGACAAGAGAAGTTGCTCGCAGCGTTGAGCTAGGGTTCTCCCATGTGTTACTCAGCAGCAGGTGCCCGTGGGAAATGTTCCCACCCATCGTGAGTTACCGAGCCAGGAGCACCGACAGCAAACGTCAGGAAAACAGCCTGGCTCGTCCTGCCACTCGGGTCAGCGGGGTGTGTGAGGCTTCGGTGGGACTTTCCAACCTCAGAGCCAAGACCGAAATCCTTCCGAACTAAAGACGCTCCTTCAGTCATCACTCTTACCAAACACTGAGCTGCTTCGGAAGCCAGCTTTTGCTCACACGCGTGAACACTTCATCGTGAGCTCCCCTAAACCCACACGGCACAGCAGTGCTCACGGGAGGGGCCTCAGGCCGTGACCACTAGCACCCTGACCACAAGCTGCCTCCCGCGCGCCGGAGTGACAGCGGTGCAGGCCGGCTCCGTCAGGAGCATGTGACTCCGCAGCTCCGGGTTCAAGTCCCACGCTGGGCACAAAGGTTACTTAAAAGTAAAAAAAATAAACAGCTAAAGAGAGAAGCGGATTTCGTCCCCGTGCAGATCTGCAGCAGATGTGTTTTCTGAGTTCAAACTACCGTTCCAGCAGCATTTCTCAGACCTCACTGCGGGTACAACGAAAAGTCACGTATTTCAAAGCCCCTAAACCGTGCGACTGAGGCACTTCCGTCCGACCATCACTGGAAGAGATAAATCAGCGCTGTGACGACATGCAGAGAAGCAAACGTCAAAAAGAACCTCCTGGAATTCTATAAACGTCTACCAAACCATGAGTACGCTAAACTGAGACGACACGCTTCCAAACCGGTGTCAGCGTCCATGAGCGCCCGCCAGCAGGAAGCTGCCGCCAAAGATGACATGCGGAGACCTTCCGTGCAGATCAGCACCAAGAGACTGACCACCGGTAACTGGCCGTGACATGAGGGAACACGAACCTCGAACTCCGATCAGGAAAAACGTTATCCAACCCTCCCCCCGAAAAAAATAACTCCATTCTTATTAGTAGACCTGAATTATATATACATATTCAATTATTATTTTGAATTCTGTCAATAAAAATTTTGTAGAAATTATAGTGTTTTCTCTTATTATGTAAGTACTTACATAATATCCTTCCTTTTGCCCATTAGTCTGCAAAACCTAAAATATCTACCATCTGCCCCTTCAGAGAAGCCGGCCGATCCTTTTCAGTCAACTTCCCCAGGTTTTCCGCACACAGGTACACAGCTAAGGCACATTTTGCACATCTTCAAGTTCTCAGCTGGTTTTTTCTTTTTAACTTGTCTGCCATTTTACCTTTCTTTATTCCTTACAAATTTTACCTTGATGATTTTAGCACTTCGTCACAACCTATCGAAATATTTTAAAATTCGGATTCTAAAAATGAACGGTCCCCCAGCATTAACTCCTGATCTTGATTCAAATTCCTGATGAAAACATTCCGACAGGTGTGAAGGACGACACACTTCTGGAGACGGCTTCACTTGTGTGCAGAAATTCTGGTATTTTAGTTTTGTGGCAAATCACCCTACATGCGCTTGCAACATACCTCCTACCTAAAAGCAGCAGTTTCTTGAACTCCCTGATAATGACAGAAATAGTAATTCACTTTGTAGGCTCCATGCAGGAAAGGATTAAGCTTGCCCCAAGCAGATCTGGCCATTGCCCACTTCCTGGAAGTCACCTCTGAGCCCTGGGAATGTCCTGCCTGATATGGCAGTCTTTCAGTCTTCGTTTAGCTGGGGCCTTGGGTCACACCAGACAGTCCACGCGAACAATGTGACTTCTGGTGGGGCCTTGGGCCACACACAACACCAGCGTGATTTCCAGAGGGACTGCAGACTAAACTTGGCCGTGCTGCTGGCGAGTGGCGATGGGACAACCCCCCACACATATCCTGGACCCCAAGGCTCAGGCGAGTTTCCCCGCTGGCAGCGTCAGTGCTGGGAGAAGTCTGCGCACCCGCACCGGGAGAAGACGACGAGAAGCTCCTGCTGGTCTTCCCTGGACTAGGCCCTGGGCCTTTCCTTCACTGACCGCCGCCTGCATCCTCGCCCTGTAATGAACCATAACCAGGAGTGTGATGGCCTTTCAGAGTTCTGTGAGTCCTTCTAGTGAGCCACAGAACCTGCAGGGAGTCGTAGGGGCCTCCCAGACTCCAGGTCTTAATGATTTACAACGTATTTTCACCAACAGTACAGCAGTGTTTCTACAGCATGAGGGGATGCTAGTTTAAAACGCAGGTGACTGGCTTCCACATCAGGAATGGTAATTCAACATCGCTGTGGGATGATACCATAACATTGGTTTTAATTCTTTCTTTTTTTTTTTTTTCCAAAGAAAAAGCCAGATCATGAGGGGATGGGGCAGGGCAGAAGGAGGCAGAGAATCCCAAGCAGACTCCACACTGGGCACAGAGCGGAACATGACGCCGGATCTCATGACCCTGAGATCATGACCCGAGCTGAAAACAAGAGTAGGACACTTAACTGACTGCGGTACCCCAGCGCCCGTTTGCGCCTCTCACACAGTCCTCGGTGATTCTTACAAAACCTCGGTGTTTCAGGACCACTGATACACCCAAAAGCTTCCTGGGGAAGCGGCCATCTTTTTCTTTTTCCTTTTTAACTTACTTCATTTACTTATGTAATCTCTACATACAAAGTGGGGCTCAAACTCACAACCCCAAGATCAAGAATCACACGTTCCACCACTGGGCCAGCCAGGTACCCAGGACTATCTTCTTCTTAACGAATCCCCATCGTGGCAGATGCTCAGGAGTCAAGAGTGACTCATGAAAATGCCTTAAGTGTGGTAGATAAGTGTGCAGAGCTGGCATTATTAGTTTTCTGAAACTCAGACTATATACGTGTGTGAGATGTTGTGTCACTTCTCAAATACCCACGATAATGCAGAAATAAATAACTAAATGCACACCACATGCTACTTGGATACAGTTTGAGCAATAGACTCAATGGTGCCACTTCTTACCCACTTTCCAATTACATCAATTTTTTTCAAGCTCCTGACAATTAATAGGAAACTGGAGTTTTACAAGCTGTCTTCACACCCTTCTCATCTACTCAAAAGATCACCAGCGAGCTCGGAGTGAAGACGGCCGAGAATGTCTTGCGAGTCCTCCTCCGTCGCTATCCAAGAGCCACTCATCCTCTCTGGGTTACTTCTTCAGCTCTCAAGTGGGAGCCCCAAACCAGATGATCCCTAAATTTAGATCAACCTCTAAAATCCTAGACTATCTGAAGCAAGAAAAATAAAGGAGGCAAACACCCAGTGGAGAAGTTTAAAACTTCCAATGGAATGGTCGAAAGGGCAGAGTCAAAGATAAACATTAACTCTTCAGCAGCCAAACGCTTAGCCGTGACCCATCAAACATTCCTACGTAGACAACCTGCATTTAAACTAAGTCACTCCTGCTACCTCTGTTACCAGGTCAAGTCCTTAGAACACAACTACTGTTTTTTTTCCAAAGCAAAAAGCAAAGTTTTCTCTGCCATGACACAGACAAGGAGGTTCCAAACGTTCCACCAACACTGGAATCACAATTATCCCCAGGCTGAAATCTTAAGGGTAATATCTTACACAGCCCAGAGTTCTCACCTCTAATGTCTACACCGTCACCGAATTCCATCGTTTCTTGTATCTCTGCCACTCACGACACTTGGCCCCTAATGGAGGTCACAGTCGTTCTCAAGAGGAAAAGGAAACTTTTTCAGACATAAACCCATTTCTAAACCCTCCCCTCTAAGAGTCATCTTCTACAGGGCAGCCACGATCACCAAGACCAGCAGCTCCCTGCAGGGCCCGCTATACTCTGTAAGTCTGCACTTCCTACATTGCACATAATGCTGATGTCAGACATGAACCAGCCCGCTCCGGACTCCAGAAGAGCACACCGGTCTGCCTGGCGCGAGCGGGAGCCACCGCCGGCCGGGCTCCTCCTGCGCTTGTCCGAAGAGCCAACTGTGACAGTGGGCATTAGGCCCTGTCTTACAACTATGAACCAGCAACACGCTTCTGAGTGGACAGAAAAACTACACTCCTTTTCGGAACTGACACGGCCGACTCAAAGCGACACTGGTCCATCTCTCACAGCCACGGGACTGTTAAGATACGCCTGACAGTTCGTGAACTGTAGCTTCCTCTAGTGCACGACAGCAGTGTTGAAACCCAGGCCAACCGGAGTCCCAAACAGCGGGCCGGCTTCCGTGTACCAACACTGTGCCTTGCTGGGTCTCCTGGGAGGGCAGGGGAGGCCGGGGAGACGGCTCCACTGCCGGCCGGCAGCGTCTGGATGGGACAGTCGGGCTTCGGCGACAGCTTCACGGGTCCGCTCCGTGTAGCGGTCCGTGACGTGTTACATTTCAAGTGGAAGTCCTGCGATGTGGATGCTTAGCCTTCCCTTGCAGCTCACACCTGTGCCGCGTGTCAGGAGTCTACAGTCTGATAACAAGGGGTGCCCCCCCCTTGGGGTTGGGCTCACTTTGATAATGGGACGAAAGCCCAAGCATTCCTACCCCAAGAAAATAACTCGTGCGCGTACACACAATTCTGCTTACCATTTCTGGGGTTCATGGACCTAGGAGAAGGCATTTCCTCCTTAAGCAACAGTCTGGTCAGCAAGCACTTAAGAACAGAAAGATCTTCATGGTCTTTCCACCACGGGAGAAATCCGGGAGCCATCCTGGAAGTGCTCCTCACACCCCCTCGCTCGGCTCTGCCTCTTCATTCCCCTGGTCAGAGCCTGGAGATGGACTGAGAAACAGGCCTCCAGTCGCCCTCTCTCCAGTTCCTCAGTTATGCCCTTAAGTGAGACCTTCTTCACTCGTGTGTACAACGTAATCGTGTAATTAAAGGAACACAGGCTGTTCAACCGGACCATCTGAACTTTGCCCATCACTTTAGTAGCTGGGCGACAGACACCAGGCAGCCGTTCCCTCAGTGACAAGGGTCAGGTTTCTCCCCTTCCGAAGTGCGTTACTGCAACACCTCCCTGACCCACTCTTGTCCCGACGCAGCCGTCCTCCGGCCACATGAATCTGCTCCTGTCAGAGTCAACCACATGCTGCTCTGACCTGCCAACAGTATCAACCCAGCCCTTTCTGTGCTCCTAAACGCTGGTAAGAACTTTCAGTCCCACACACCCCGGCTCTCACACCTCCGCACTTCTACAGGGGCGCATCCTCCACAAGGCCCTGCCCGCTGCCCACCAGATCCCTGCACACAGCCAGACGTGCAGAGGTCACAGCATCTGGTCCACAGCCAATTTTTGTACGGTTCCTGGGCTGATAAAGGCTTTTACCTTTTTAAAGAGTTGTTAAAAAAAAAAAAAAAAAATGACAGGCCCTATGTGGTCTACAAAGCCTGAAATGTTTACTATCTGGCCTTGAACAGAGACAGTATGCCGACCTCGGGGCTTGACTGTGACCCGGGACATGCCCTCCAGGTCCTCAGGGCGCTCTGCTCTGGGACCACTACCGCTGGGGACACACACTGCACACTGCGCGCATCACTCCCCTCCGTCTTGCCCCAGGGGCTTAGCACGATCTCAGGCACAAGACAGCCGCTAATACTGCCGGCTCTCCATCAGCCAGGTCCACTCACACACAGATTTTTTCAATACATGCCACATAGTAAATGTATTTTCTCCTGATTTTCTTAACATTCTCTTTTCTCTAACTTACTTTTTTATAATACAGTATATAACACACACAAAAAATATGTGTTAACGGTGGATTTTCACCTATGGGGGGTCCGGCGACCTGCATCGGTCAAGGGTCAACTGTGCCAGCGCATGTGCACACGACCCCACGCAGCGCCAGCGCCCGGAGCCTTGAAGATGGCAGATGCCAGACTGAAGAGCTACAGACGGTATCAGATGCCACG